TAACGATTTGGCCTTAACGCCTCTCCTCATAGTAAATGAACAAACGAATCCATTCAAATATTTTATAACCACTGGCAACAGATAAATTCATTCCCAAATGTGACATTATTTCTGCTAGGCTATTGTATGATGACGACAACGCCACTCGATCTTTTGCATTATTCGATCAAAAGACCGTGAAACATTGACAGTATGGTTCGACGACAAGAAATTCAAAAAAAAATCCAACAACGCTTAACAACACATCGCCACGACCTAAGAGAGAGATAGAGGGAGCGAGCGAACGACAACACATAGCAAAACAAAAATTCAATCCAAAGCAACAATAATAATAATAGTAATAATATCAGTTGAAAAACACATGTAAACACAGCAGGATATTCATATTTTTTTCTTCTCCTTTATCGATTGATTTTATTGTTGTTTATGCCAGGGACGCGCTGTGTACGACAAAATATAGTTATCGATAAACAAATTCATAGTGTTTCTCTGTGCCTCTCGAAGAAGAAAAAAAAATTACCGCAGTATGTAATGGCAACAATTAAAAAAAATCCCATAAAAATCACAGCGAATAGATCGAGATAATGTGTATGAAGGGGAAACGCATCATATTGTTCGAAAAAAATATCATTCGTTTGTTATGTGCGTTGTTTCAATCATATTCTTTGTCGTGACTTTTATGATATGTAATCATTTCAGAAGACGAAAGAAGAAAAAAAAACCAATGATTGCAACTGGGAAAAACATGTGAAATAATTTATTAGTTGTGATATCCAATGTCAATTTCACGTCTAATTTATAGTACAAATACCGGTATTTGAGGTGCGGGTATCAACAATTTTTTTAATCTTGATCATGCCAAAAACTTCTTAAACAATTTCTACTACCGGCTGAAGAATTTGGATCGACTTATTTTTTTTTATTGTGAAAAGATGGGATTTCTAATGTTACAGCATTTCGCATATATATGTGTGTAAATTTTTTCAACAAGATCGTCACAATGATTTATAATTACTAAAACCGCATTAAAATTCACTCTCTGCTCATATCGCGTATATAATTTCAGCAAATACAATATCCATTTAAATGTGCCCATGCTCGATTATGGAAGCAATTCGTTCGGTTTTTATGAGCAATAAAACCATTTTTGGCGCATACATATATGTATATTTAAAAACAAGCAGGAACCAAAAAAAGTACGAAGAAAACAAAATGAACGCATACAGGCGCATACATAAATTTAACTATCTATAATTATGCCTCAAAATATCACCGATTAGCACTGATGATTATGACTGAACTGAATGCCAGACTTGAAAATTTTAATTTTCTCTTTCTATCTCTCTCCATCTCTCACTCTTGACGATTTCAATTCTTTTCTTTTTTTTTCATTCATTCATCTTGGCATTTTTTCAATAATTTTTTGTTTTTATAACTTTTGCGGTTTCGTTGTGGTGCAAAACAGCAATAATTCTCCTTCAAATACGAATTATAAAGTAATGGCAAAACACGGGAAAATCAAAACTATACGATCGTAAAAAATCAAATATCGCCCCAAATGCGTATGTGAAAGCCAATAAAAATGAAAAATTAAATCCATTTAAAAAAAAAAATTCTGTGCGCTCATCGAAATGGTAAAGCCCACCTATTATTGAAATTTTATGAGAGAAATGGATAAAATAAAGTAAAACATATGGTTACAATTAAAATCCAACTTGGCTATTGTAATAGTTCCTGTTTTTATCAAAATTATTTTTGTTTAAACGAATTCGATGTAGCCCGATCTTGATTTTTTTGTCTTCTTTTTCAAATTGTTTGCACAGACAAGCATTTTTTGTGAGTAAAAACGCGAATTGTAGACGGAATATCAATCTGTTTTCATCAATACAATTTGCGTATGTGTATAACCAAACAATGGAGATAAAGAAAATAAAAAGAGAGAGAGAGAGAGAGAGAGAGAAGAGGAAAAAACATTAATGCGCAATCTCTGGACAGTCGAATGTGAAAAGTGAATCCATATCGACAATTTATCGCAATTTTCAAATGGATTTTCTCAAAGCACCAACGAAAAACAGAGGTATACTGCAATAATGGCACTATGACGAATTTGCATTTGGTCCGGGATGCGGTTTGATACGAATCCACAACATACGTATAGTTTTATTGTCTACACAAATGTTAGTGTTGTTGTTGTCTTGTTCTGACTTTTTTTCGTTTTTGGTGTATTGCTTTTCTCATGGCAGACAGCTTGCGTTTAATCGAAACAACGAGAGAACATTGACATAAACAGCTAAGGAATGCTGAACGATGGTGTATCCTTGTATTGCCATTGGATATTTTATATTTTGCTGAACACGGTAGTTTTTTTTCTTTCTTTTATAAAGTAGCTACACAAAAAGGTAGATAAAAAGCGCAGACAATTTCGAGAAGTACTCGCAAGCAGAGCACAGAATGAAAAAAAAAACCAAAGTATAAATGGAATTGAATTGTACAGAGATGGAATGGGAGAAACAGTTCTATCATGAACCTTTTGATCATCAGCAATGCGTTTCGTTTCCATGAATCGGGCAAACGCGCGCTCGGTAAAAGTTCCTTTTCTTTTGTTCTTCGTGCTTTTTTTTCTTCACATTCTGCCATTTCCAATTTCCATACAAATCGAACGAGGAATTGATTGGGCGAATATATATACATAGTATACAAACATACAATTTTCGCAATGATGATGATGCACACAATGTGATTCGAAGCCAAAAAGCGTCGGCTCAAGATTCAAGAATTCGAGAACGGAAGAGAAATTGAACGAATAAAAAAAAGAGTCACACACGAGCAGCGAACGGTTGTAGCGAGATCGACTCTTAATGCCATTGCGCACATTTTACATGAACAGAGATCGTAAAATGAAATGGAAGCCAAACATATATTTCGCAAGATATTTATCATATTCATGAGCACATGCTACTCTTTCAGGTTTGGTTATTTTTTCGTCTTATTTTGTTTTTTTTTTTTTTTTTTTTTTCATTGTGCGCTTGCTTGCCCTTTCTCGCAATTCACTTCTCGTTCTATTTCGAAACGATTTGGTTCTCTCATTCGCCCTTGTTATAATGTTTTTCAGCTACTATACAATCTCTGTCGTATAATCATTGATCGTTGGGAGTTGAACAACAAAAAATGAAGAAGAAAATGAATGCACATATCGAATAATGGAACAAAAGTGCAAACAAATCGGAACCAAGTAACATTTACGACGTATAATTTCAAAAATTCAAGCCAACACATAAACACACAATGGCAAAAGTGAGGCTCAACTATCACAATTGTATCTATTTGCGCATATTGAGCTATGGGGAGCTGAAATAAAGCAAAAAAAAAAGAGAAACGAACACAGAAGTCGTCGATTTATTTCGATAGAAAACAAAAAAAGCCAATGAATTCGAGGGAATGCGTATAAATCATTACGAGCAATGAATATTCGGGTACTACCTTCAATTCGGTTTAGTAGAATCTATCATTTTCAATTGTTCACATTGAACTTTGGAGCAATCACACCCCGCACAAATCGATGTGAATCTTTGTTGTTATTTTTTTTCGCCATATTCTACCATTGTGTTGCGCAACATCAAAATAATAATTTCACAATGTATAGCATATTTCAAGTGAATCGTTTTGATCAAATTACCGATTCGGAATTTTAAAGAAGCAGCCGTTGATAATAAATAATAATAGAAAAAAATTGAGAAAAAAATCGGTTAAAAATTTAATGAATGCGTACCGATTTCATTTGAAATTATTAACAATAATATGTTTTGAGAAGAACGAGAGAGAGAGAGAGAGAGAGAGAGAAATCTGCGTCCAAACGAGAGACAACGAACAAACATACAGAGCGAACAAAAAAGTTGATGATTTTCCCACTGATGCTGTATTACACTTGTGAATATTCAATTTGTGAGCGCAAACAGCAGCAGTATCAGGCAACATGAATGTGAATGAAGATAAAAACGAACCAATAATCTTGCTCACTGAACATTTATTAATAATGATCACATGTTGTATAGGCCGACAGAAACATGCCACTATATGTGGCGCAGATCAGACATAAAATCACACAAAACACTCACACCGGTAGCACTTGTTCAAGTAACACAATCTATTAGATTAGTAAGTGAACAAAAGACAAAGCGCGCCTCACAAACGCACCGATAATCGTTTCGCTCTCGTTCGATCATTCGTAATTGGTGAGGTTGCCATTGTCATCGCACACTGTGTCTTTATCTATCGTTGTTATTTGTTTCCATGAGTTTTTTTTCTCTCTCTCTCTCTCTCTCTCTCAGTTCTCTGGATACTACTAAAATGCCATGGCCAAAACAACCAAGCGAAATTTCTCGCCAGCTTAGACGATCGTCTTCGTCATCATCATCGTCGTCGTCGATCTCATCGTTGCCCTTCTTCTTCTTCTTGTTGTTACTACAAATTCCCAGTTACGTTCGCAATTCACAAGCAAATAATAATAAATAATAATTTGTTTTATATAATTATCTACGAGAGCATCAACAATAGCGCCATTGTTTGGGGTATTTGAAGCGCTGAGAAAAAAAAAGAACAAGATTCAATACAAAGAAGATCGATGTTTTGTTCATCGGGAAAAAAAGAGAAGACGTTACCCAGCGTTAGAAGCAGTTATAGAAAGCAAATCGAAATAACCAAATAAGAATTGTTACTTTCAAAGCAATAATCATTCAAATTGATTATATTTAGAGTATCGTTAGGTTGATGGGGATTCACTTTGCTTTGTATTCTTTTCTTCATTGACGTCAAATGATCTGAAAGAAACGACATACAGGTGTTTGCTATGTTAATAACAAGTACAACTCATTTCCTTCTGGATTCTTGCTTGATCATCGGCACAATGTAATATATCTATATCCACGTTCATTCTCACAGCTCAAAATCAAAACTGGAAAAAAAATAAAAAGAAACAAAAAAAACGCATAAAATTTCGACCAATCTGAAATCAAAACACGGCTCAATAAAGTAAACGAGCGATAAAAATATAACCATTTTTAATAGCGTTTGCGAATATACTGTTTGCTGCTGTTTCACGAACGCATAAATCAATGGTTTGTATCTCTTTAAAATTATGATTTATTTCACATTAATGTGCATATTAAAACATTGAATTAGTTTTCGCATTTGTGGTTTTCATACATGCGTGCGATGTGTGGCATTATGATCACCATTTCAAGTCCATCAAACCCAAATAGTAGTATGGTGTATGGTGTGTGTGTGTGTATTTAATACTACTTTTAGCAATTGTAATTTATGCTTTTCGGAAATGTACTCTTGGCGTACATGCACCATGTCTGAGCGCCACAATCACACAACACTGAACATGCAGTTGCATGTGCTCAAATTCACATTAATGTGTACGAAAGAAATGTTGAGAGAAAAGACGATCGTATACAATATTTTGATGGCCAATGTTGATATTATTTGACGTTTTAAATGCATTTTCCGTAAAATAATCTCGCATATTTTTTTGTGTGCAAAAACACTCGAGAAATGGTTATGTCTTTATTACGACTTTGTGCTATAATTTACATCCGCGCCAATGTCTTCGGTTGACTCTCAGTTGGATATGTATCAATATTTATGGTATAAACGTTAGATTTATGAATTACGAAAAGGAAAAACACGAACTAAAAAAATAATCAAACATTACCTATGTACATATCGTGTTTTGAAATTGCTGCCTAAATATCATAAAAAGAAACATAATAGTTCCAATTTTTAATAAATTTTGGTTTCTTTCTTCTTTTTTTTGCAGGCTGTTCGGTCCAAAAAGATGTGCTCGTTGCATGGCCTCGATAAGTTCCTCAGAGCTCGTGATGCGTGCTCGCCACTTAGTATTTCATGTTAGATGTTTTTCATGTACCGTGTGCAATTCACCGTTAACAAAAGGCGATCAATTCGGTATGCGTGATTCATCAATATATTGTCGTTCACATTATGAAATAGCATTGGAATCACCGACAACAACATCCACACCATTGGGTATGACATGCCAGTATTCACAGTATGGTTCATCACCAAATGGTCATACAAGCCCAAGCAGTAATGAAAATGCGGCCATGAAAATGGGCTCATCGAGCGGATACTTTGGACCACCTACACCACATTCAATGACCGGCACCGGTTTACCACAAACGCCACGCCAAAAAGGACGTCCACGAAAACGGAAACCAAAAGATATCGAAGCAATGACCACAAATTTGGGTAAGTTTTTTTTTTCATTCGATGCACGTATAGTAATTAACTCTGAGCTTTGTTGAAGACACTTACATACATTGTTTAAAAATGGTTGAAAACAAAGATTTTGTAATCCCAAAAAGTTGAGTCAAAATCAGACATTATAATGAGATATTTTCAGCCAGATGAATCAACTCAGCCAGATATCGTCAGGAGCTGAAATGGAGTGAAAACAATAAAAGTGAATCACTCCTATTGTTTTCACTAAATTTCAGCTCCTGACGATATCTGGCTGAAAATATCTCATTATAATGTCTGGTCAAAATCGACCAATTTCATTTTATGAAAAACATTTCTTCTAAGTTTGAAGACAATTTTTTTTGTGACTGGCACATTTGAAAATAATCGTCAAAAAAGAGAAAAAAATATTCACTCATTCAGAGATGTTGACGTATTTTTCGCACAGCCTTGTTAATTTAGCACATATTTCGATTGTGTCATTTTGTAAAAACGTTCTTTTTTTTATTGGCAACAAGAATTTGGTGACTTCAAATTCGCATTTCATTCAGGGATTTAAATGATGTAAAAAGGCGAAGAAAAATAAAAAATCTTACGAATAATCTTCATCCGGTGTGTACGAAAATGCGATTCATTTAAATTTACAAGTTGTTTACGAGATTCTTCTTTTCCCACTAACACACAAAGATTATATTCTTTACGGTAGAAGAAGAAGAAGAAACGGAAAATAAGCAAAGCTGATTGTGATACGGTGGCAGAGTGAGCGCAGCAGATAAACCGCAAAATCTTTACGTACACAAAGCAAAAGTTACGGAGAAAATCTGCCAACTATTTGTATATTACAAGGGAATCAAATGCGATTAGCGATTTAACGTCCTAAATGATCTTTTAGTGTGCTCAAATGCGCGCGCGCGTATCGTTCATTTTCTCTTTTAGCGCGCTCTCTCACTTTCCGTTTTCTATCGTTGTTTCTCTTCAATTTTTTAATTTTTGCATACATATCGATACGAATTTATTTTATTGCCGTTCATTTATTTTTCTGCAATTTTTAAGTGCTGTTTAAAGAAAGTGACGACAAAAAAACCGAATTCATTAGCAACAAGACAGACAAATGCATGCATGCATACAACTCGTTCAAAAAAATATTGACCAGAAAAATAAAATGTTTTAAGCATTCGCTAAAAATGGTTGGGCTTTGTTTTGAGATATTGTCACTTGCCTGCCTGCTTCCTTTGAATGCTTCGATCACTGTGCTGCTATGCATTTAATTGCTTTCCAACTTGATGTTATCTTGTTAAAGTCAGCTTTATTTATACTTAATATTTATTTTAATCTATACATTTTACATTTTCACAAACATTTTTCGCCCATTTGGTTGTGGCTCTTGATTGTCGAATTACATTCAACAAATAATTAATTTGTTGCAAAATGCGATGACTACGATGAAGACGGCGACGACGACATAACTTCAGATGAAACTGTTCATGGGAAATGAGACGGAGTGAGAAAGAGAAAGATAGCATCAACAAATCCAAATGTGTTGATCACACAGCCCACAATTAATGCATCTCGATGTCACAGAGTCCACATTCAGTTATCTCATTCAATGGATAACCTCTTCTTCAAGTTTTCTTTCTCTGTTTCCTTTGTCTGGCTACATAAAATAATATAGATGGTGATTTTTGCAGTCATTTTTACATTTCCTTATCTCGGCCAGGAACAGTTCACTTTTTTAAATTGTACTGTATTTTCTCGATCGTTCCCTTTTCTTTTCTCTTCCATGTTAGGCTTTTAAAGAAGCTTGAAGTATCAATTTAGCTAGATTATTCAATACTCAGGTCATTCCAACAATCACTTTTATTAGAGTAGTTTCGATTAACCTGAATTTGATATTGATTTTTATTATTGTTATTGTTTCACTAATATGAAATGAATTGAAAGCTTCTCTTCAGCATTGCAGACAAATCAGTGTTTTAAAAAAGGATTGCTATTGCCTAGTGATAAGTAATGTACAAAGGAGGGAAGAGAGGGGGTTCTGGTGATTTCGGATGCATGAAACATCGACTTGATGAAAATATTACTTGTATCGAACATTAAAAGAGAGAAAACATTGGTTGTAATTCCCAAAAATGTGTGAATGTGTATTTCCAACATTGTTATTGCCCGAATGAAATATTTTTTCGGATGCAGCAACAACAAAAAAAACACGTCACTTCCCACGGTGCACAATTCAAGTTGATGGAATACAAACAGAACGATTTTTTGAATGTGTTGCCGATCAGGGTGATCGGCTTTATGATTCTCTATCAAAACGACAACAAAAACCGAGCATCAAATGAAAAACACCATCGTGAGTACTGTACAGAGTGAAAGAGATAAAGAATTTATGCTCATTTTTTGAAGAGTAATAAAGCATGTGGCTGTGAAATTCTAACAAAACAAAATGCATCGAAATACTGAGAAATAGATGGTCATAAAAATCCGCACAATAATAAAAAAAAATCTCGCAACGTTTTTAATCGTAAAAAATATCGAAATGGAAGAGGGAGAAAAAAACGAAAAAACTTGAAGCAAAATAACATTATTTACAGCCTGTAATTTAAACTTTGAAACCGTGTATTTTTTTTCTTTCTGAATGTACAGCATATAAAAGGAATTGAATATGGAAGGATGGATAATCCTTTGAACACCGACTCATCGTTCACCTGAAAATAAATAAATATACATGAATGTATGAACTCTGGCTTTTTTGGATGTTTTGTTGTTGTTATTGTTATTCTTCTCTGTTTCAAGTGGTGCTGTGTTAGATGATGATGTGCCACTCTTCAAATCTGGAAGGCATACGTATACTGAATAGATAGATTAAAAGGATATACATTCATTTTATTATCAAATTGCATTGTTGAAGTCGAACAAAAAACACATATATAATAATAATAAAGAAATCGACAAAAGTACAACTGATGGGGCAATCGAGTAATATTTTTTCACCTTCGAAGAAGCACATTCACACATACTACCTGCGTCGTTCGGTAGATGAAAACGAGCAGAGAGGCGCCTACCGGCCACTTGTTCATATATTCTGCATTTTTTGGATTTCGTTTTCGAAATTGTTTGTTTCATGCGAATGGAATCACCAAAAAAGGGAGAACGCTAAATCGACAGACCTCGATCGTTCACCAAAATATTTCAATTAATTTATCTATATGTCATTTTGTTAATGTGTATGTGTGTCAGAGATATCGATTGAAAATCTCACATAGACTTTATTGAATGTTTGTATCTTAATCTTAGTCCTTCTTTTTTTCGCCTTGTTTTACGATTAGATTTGAACTCGGAGTATTTGGAGTTAGGTTTTGGACGCGGTGGTCCATTGAGTGCGGCATCACGAGCTAAACGGATGCGAACCTCATTTAAACATCATCAATTACGAACTATGAAATCCTACTTTGCAATCAATCACAATCCGGATGCAAAAGATCTGAAACAATTGTCACAGAAGACTGGCTTGCCCAAAAGAGTTTTACAAGTGAGTATTTTTCGATATATTAGCATTCGTCTCTTCTATTCTGCATTTATTTATGCGCTTTGTTTATTACAAATGCAACACTCGATATGCAATTGTTCGTTAATTGAAATCAACGAGATATTTGAACTGTGATTTAAATTACAATCTCTTTTTTTCCACTTTTTTCTTCTTTTTTTTTTTGGCGAATGTGCGCGCTTAAGGTATGGTTCCAAAACGCTCGAGCTAAATGGCGTAGAATGATGATGAAACAAGATGGAAAAGGTAGTGATAAAGGTGACGGTTCACTAGATTTAGATAGCTACAGTCATAGCCCAACATCGTTTATAATGGGAGTTGGAGGACCACCCAGCCCAAATTCAATTGATTAACAGTTGAAATTAAGGCAATGCTTAATCGGATTGATCTCATTGCATGAACGAATTCTATAGCAAAAATCAGCTGATGTGTGCCGTTTGCATGCACTACGTTAATAAGTAAAAAAAAAAAGTAAAAAAAAAAAAATCACTACCATACACAAATTCCGCCTTCTTCTCCCTCATACGACAACATAATATAATGCAAAACCAACACAGATGATGCCAAATGCAGGATGAAGTTTTATCAAGACAAATCACAAACGAAAACCCGAATCGAAAATTGTTTACATGCAAATTCAGATCGCATTAACATCCTAGTTCAATTTCAAACGTACACCCCAAACACTTCAATTTATGTGTTTTTTCCCCTTATCTTTGGCAAAATGGCCTTTTTTATAAATTGAACTCAATTGGAAATAAACTCGCAATATACCAGTGCTATGTTATACTAGCTATATTTCCAATGAATATTTTCGAAATGTAGCGAAGAAAGCAAAACCTATATTTATATGTATATCAAATGTCAAAATCCGTCGGAAAGACGCAAAATTAATTTTAGGGATAATTCAGGGATCAATTTGCACGTTTTTTTTATTTTCTTTCTAAAGAAAATGTTTGATTGAAAATTCCATCATTTTCGTTTTTAACACTTTCGTATAAAATACAAGTGTACTAAACATATAGTCGCGCACAAACATACACGTTCTAATCAATAGAATTGTTTTAAATATCAATATGATTCGACCTGGTGACTGGAAATTAAGAAAAAATTATAAGTAAACTTTCAAGACCAAATCATTCTATGTAATTAGATCGCAATTGCGAAACAACAATTGCACACATTTCGTATAATTGTCTATAAAATGAAAATGGAGTCGTTAATAGATGCAGACGGTAAATTCAAAGAAAGATCTTCGTTTTGTCCAGTTTTTTTACCTTTTTTAACTCATATACCAATAGTACATTAAAATTTGTAATTTATTTTAAACTTCAAACCCAAAAAAAAAACGAAAGAATACTTTTTTCCAGCCAAAAAAGTATAGCGGAATATCTGTTTGAATTGAATTCTATCCGTGTTCGATTATAGTTGTACTTCTTTCGAACTAACTTAATTTTACTAAAATATAGAAACTATTTATATGTGTATAGAATTTATCAGCAAAAAAAAAAACAATGAAAAAAATATTAAAATCATCTGTAGCATGTAATCAATCCAAGCAGATGAGCAGAAAAAATCAAGAGGTGAAGTTAGTTCAATGTAATTCACAACTGTTTTTTTTTTAGATTACCTAAGCACAGAGCATAGAACATATTTGAGATATATAGAAAAAGATGGGTTTTTGTGTTTCTTTTTTAAATTAAAATCTAAACAATTCTTAAATAAAAAAAAAAGAAATAATAATTATTAAGAATAAATGGTGAAGTGCGTACGTTTTAAGTGAACCCAAAAAAGACGATAGTGTTAAGTTAATTAAATAAAGATGAACAATTGTAAAATATTGAAAAATGGGCAAATTTAAATTTTGGAGCCCTCGAGATGCAAAGTGAAAAATAAAAACTGAATGTGTATTTAAAAAATAGAAATTTCGTCGTTTTTTCTCTTCTTCTTCAAGTTAAGACGGAAATCTGTGGATCACTCCAAATGAATTGAATTGTAGGTAAGTTTTGCTACTTAAAAGCGGAAATTCCATCCAAGAGATTTTCCTTCGATAATATAATGATCTTGATGGAATAAACAACGATAATAAACACAACGAAAATGAATAAACGAACGCAATGGCTGTATTTGAATGTGTGTGCTTAAAATAATTGCGCAGTATGCATATGCGAGTATTCGCATAATAAATCGCAACTCTTTAATGTTGTGCCATAAACGTGTGTTTTTGCGGTCAAAATGTGCTGGCAATCGATCGCATCCAACGGTAGAAATGCGGGACATACACAGTCATTGTATATATGGATATAGTCAAATCAAGCAAAAGCAATGTATTACACAGATTGCTAATAAACTTAAATTGCATCTTAAATTAAACGTCAAAACCTCTATCGGACGCATCGCACACATTAATCGGTAGTGAGTTTCTTTCACAAGAAAATGCGTGAGCGCAATATTCATATAAAAAAATATTTGGTTTTGCGCACGGGCCACAATAGGTGTGAACATTTAATCCATCTATATGCCTATAACGCATGAATAAAGTCACTTATTTGTTTATTTTCATTCAGATTTGCTTAAGCCTTAGAATTCCATTTCAGAGATTCTTTTCGTGGAAAATAATATAAACTTTTAATGTAATCATCGGTATCATTACATTATTTATGTGAATTGTCAAACATATACATATATTTCCTATAGTTTACGTTGAATGGCATGTTTATTTTTCAATTCTCTGGTTTTTTTTTTGTGTGCAAAAGATGCGTTTGTGAAAATAGATAAAAAGCTTTTTAATCCGATTGAGAAGGAGAAATTTACAGTAAAAAAACAACAACAATTGCCATTCATTCGTGTATAAGTCGTCTTCACACGTTTACTTTATTCCTTCCTGATTTCTTAGAATATATTCGTGATGATGCCTAGAATGATGCGCCACAGCAAAATAATAAATTGTGTTGCATAATTACCATTGATTTGTTAATTTGTTTGGCAATTAAATGTATATAGAGAAAAACTAATTTCAGGTAAACAAATTGTTTACATACGATTATTAATTTTTCATTTTTGTGCTATTTTTATCTTCAAGTATAATTCATTTGTAAATAATTTCGCAATAAAAAAAAAACACACCGTTGCATCTTGGCAATAAAAACGAAAATTGTCTATAAAAATAGGTCTTGGTCTTAAAATGGCACAGCATAATTGATCTCGGAGCCAAGGCACGTGCATTTTTTCGTATCTTTTTCTTTGCTGTAAATTGTGCCAAAATCTCAATATCGATATCAATGGTTTTGTATGTGTTATAAAAAAATTGGGTGATTTGAGGATCTATTTTGATTAGTTCCTTTTTTTTTTGTTCATAATATACCACACACATGGGCTGCACCTTTTGAACCCAAACATAGTATTAAGAGTTTTGGCTTCACATTTCTCTTCTACTACATTTGAGTGAAAATGTAATGCTACAAACATGATACAAGAGAAAGTGTCATGGTTCACGGTGACAAATGCAGTCAATATAACATTGCACAGACGACAGAGCGGAAATGTTTAGAACGCCCATACCCAGAGTATCAAATGCGATTCACTTTCACAAATCTTAAATATACTATTGAAGGCTGTCATAAATTAAGAGCAAAAGGACGACGCATAAAATACTGTTACAACTGACGGATTTCACATCATTTGCGCCGCTTTCAAATATTTAACACCGCAAAATATTGCCATTTGTCAATGGAAAAATATATTTATTAAAAAAATAATAATAATACAATAGCCATTTGGTGGAGAAAATGTATCTCTCTCTCTCTCTCTTACATGATATTTTATAGAAAAAAGGCGACCGATTTGGTGTAGCATGTTGGGACAGCATGTTTCAAAATGTGATCGCTACATTAAACGAAATGAAATTCGACCCAAGAACAATTTCGGTGTACGATGAAAGAGAAAAGTGCGCGCACGGATAACAAGGGAGACGGCGCTTGACGATGGCACACATTCTAAACCGCAAAATCTTGAACAGAATGAGCGAGAGATGGAAGAAAATCAACGAAAAATTAACGAGACACAAGGATACAGATTATCGAATACAGCTTGGGAAACCGAACGATTTTTATCGTTTATTTGTATCATCCGATCAGAGAGAGAAAGAGAGTAAAGACATAGTGAAAGAGAAATTGAAAAACCGAAATTTGAATATTCACAACCGCAGAAGGCACATTCATGACACGCAAACACACACCCGGCGCTTTCTTTTGAGTCTCATATTTCCCGTTCCGCATATCAGCATCGCACATTTTTCGTATTTTTTTTTTCCTTTCTTTCTCTGTCTACTTTTTCTTTTTAAATATGACTAGTAATTTCTAATTGTGTCACATTTTACATTCATTTTGGTGCGAAGACGAAACGATTGATGAAAATGAACGACTGATCGCACTTAAATTATTACGGACCATAAAGTATGAAAATGCATGTATATACATCAAAATGTATATAATTTATATTCCTTCGAAATGCTTTTTTCTGTCGTGTATCTTTTTTTTTATTTATTTCCCTTGTGTTTGTCTTTTAAAATCAGTGTTCATATTTCGATTTGAATTTCCAGTTAGGCGAGTGAAAAAGGGGATGTAACTCGTAACCACAATTTTTCCAAAGAATGACCGTAATAAATTTCACCATTCTGACGCTGCAACACAAAAGTTGACACTCTTTTTTTGCGATATATATATTTTTTGTTTGATGGTCATTTTCTCTGTCGTAAAAAATGTCTTCATTTTTTCATCTGAAATAAGCCTCAGTCTCGATAGAAAGAAAGAGAATATAAACAATTCAGCTATAGCTATGATTTTGCGCTTGTCATTTATAAGTTGTGCTGATTGCACACACACGCAGTCATGTCATGTCATTCTCTAAAATGAGACATAGAAAATGATGACCGATTTAGTGACATTTCGTGGCCAACCACATCGTCATTCGAAATAGTGAATTCAATTGGTACGCTCTCATTTGGGCAAAATAAATTTGATTTGTTGAAAGCATTTGCCATCATCTCATTACATTCAATGGAAATGCAAAAATTATAGTCCCAATGGAGCCAATTTGTTGGCTTTTATGCCACATATTAGGTTTTTTTTTGTTCTGTTATTATTATTATCGTGCCGTTGCGAGTGTTTCTTCTTAAATTACAGTCCATACACATACATATGCGTACAATTGACTTGTGCAATTCTCCGGCCAATTCAATGCAGAGCCAATGCCCAATGTTGCGGAAAATCAGTTGTTTGTTTCTATTAATATAAATGATTGTCTCTTCAATTCTCTGAGATATATGTAATGCCAAAGCTTTGATATGAAATATGAGCAAAAGTGTCAGCATTTGTCGCAAAAAATTGTTACAATTTATAAGTGATTTGTGAGTGGTCTTTAGAAGATTGTGTCTAGTATCTTGAATAGAAAAAAATGAACAAAATGCCGTCGAAATCGAATAAAATAAAGTGAAATTGCTTGACATACACAACTGACGTCTTAATGCTTTATGACGACTACTTGCAAGCGTATTTCTTTCAAGCTACTTTGGTTTGTTCTTCTAGGTTGATCGTATTTTTTTTTTTATTTGTGTTCTTCGCTTACGTTTTCACCAAATTAAGATGTGTACGATCTATGCTAATGCGAGTAATAGAGTATAAATGGTTAGATACAAATGTCGGTGCAGAGATTGACGTGCAATAAATGGAACAAGACAAAGACGTAATGGATGAAAAATCAAATGTAACGTTAAGTTGCGATCCATTGAAAATTCCCTGAATTTCATTTTTATCTATATTCAAGTTCCTGACAATGAAGAAATGAGGCAAAACCATCGTCGTTGTGGTTCGTTTATGTCGCACATTTAACTCGTTCAAATCTTTCTCTTCTACATTTCATTCGTCATTGTGGTATTGAATGAGCGCGCTTCAGGAATTCAGACTGGCTATAACATAATTGCATATTTGTTGTATGTTCAACAAATATGCTTTTAATTATTTAAATTGATTTGGAATTTCCAAAAAAAAAAAAAAACAATGTTCATTCAACCATGGTGATGTTAGTGAGTGTGCGTGCGGTTTCGACTTTGGCTACTCAATGATATAATGTAATTGGTAATGCCGATGTCATGTTTAACCTTAAACCAACCATTGTATATTCGCATATTCAAAGTGAAAATGTCAGAATCATGTGATGCAGAACCGAAAAATATCACCGAAATGACATTGGCTCAAACACCCGCACACATTGTGAAATCAATCAAATAGACCAAAAATTTCGTGCATGAAAATGTATGAGCGCATAAAACAACCCAACGATACATAACCGAATGGGAATGATATAAAGCAACAACATCAGCACTTGAAATATAGCAGTAACAACAACAAAAATCACAACACATCACTAATGAGCACGTCACGTTTAACAAAGAGTCTTTATTTTTTGAAAATTTTCCGCCCATCAAAGCGTAAAATTTTACTCCCTTTTGCTAA